TAAGCATGTCCAGCGTGTCATAAATTCTTGGCAAGGGATAGCTGTCCTTCGTAACGTCGTTCAAACGGCGGTAATCAACACAAAACCGCATGCTGCCATCCTTCTTCTTCACCAACACCACTGGTGAACACCATGGACTAGAGGAAGGTTCAATAACACCATCCTTCACCATTCCTTCAATCATGGTTTCCACTTCCTTTTCACGTGCTACCGGCAATCTTCTTGGCCGCTGACGGATAGGCGATTCTTCTCCTGTGTTTATTTTGTGTTGAACTAAGCCAGTCTTTCCTATGTCAGCATCGTTTGATGAAAATACGTCGGCGTACTTGAGTAACAACTTCTTCGCCTTGACCAATTCGTTCGGGGAGAGAACACTGCGACAGTCCTCCAAAAGTGTGGTCACTCTCGATTCTGCATCCTTGCTGGGGGTCCCACTCGATATATATTGGCACCGACGTAACCAATCCACTTCCTCACAAGTACCAATCAGTGTGCCTTTTTTTATAATCTGTTCCCGGTCGCAAAGGTTCAGCGCACTCCTGAGATGTCAGTGGTCCTGACCAAGGTTCGAGCTACTTTCCATGGAAGGTCATTGTTTACTCTTTCCACAAGTACACAACGGTGAGCTTGCCCAGCGTTTCGAGGAAGACTAACCGGAACAATCGTTTCCGATCTCGGCGGAAGCACAATCTTCTTAATGCTGTAGCCGTTCCCTGGTAACGCACCTTCCATAAAAAATTCCTCCTGTCCACATTTCAAAACACCTTGCTTAACGTCGATCTCACAACAATTATTCCTCATAAAGTCTAGGCCTAGGATGCAGTCGTCCATTATATCAGCCACGATGAAATTATGCAGGTAGATCACGTTGCCTAGCTTCAAACTCCATCTCCTTCTCTCCACGGACGGGTATACGCTGACCCGTGGCTGTTACCAAATTAATGCGTTCTTGGTTGTATGCGGAGTCCCCAAGGAACTGACTTATAAGTTGGGAACTAACAACCGTACGAGAGGCTCCAGTATCTATGGTCAGTTTACACGGCATTCCGTTGACCTCGCCCTTGATGATTAGACTGTTCCCATCATGGGTTTGTGAGATCGAGATCCTTGGGGCTCTTTTAACATCAGCCAGCACCCGCCCCGCAGTTCAGGCTTTTACTCGTTTCCCTGCTGCTGCTGGGCGGTGCTGTTGGCCGCACTACCCTCCTGAGATCGTTCACCTTCCCTTTCTAGGGTTCGCTGAGGGCAGCTGGATCGAAGATGGCCCTTTCCCCACAGCCATAGCACCTTGGGCTGTATCCTTTGTTGCGATCGCGAACTGTAGCTGCTGCAACCTCCCTGACGCGATGGGAACGATGATCCTGCCGCACGGCTTCCACTTCCAGTGCATGGGCCAAGCGTCCTTAAGCGTCTCGTGGTGCCCGAGCCTCACAGCAGCTCTGACTTCCAGGTCGCGGATGCCGTCGATGAATGTCTGCATCAGATTCCCTTCAATGAGCGCAGGTACAGACCGGTATGCTTTTCGCACCAGCTTCTCCACTTCTAGAGCCCACTGCTGCAGGTTTTCGTTGATGCGCTGCACACGACCTTTAAGCTGCGCACGAAAGACGTGTTCCAGGTGAGCGTCGCCATATCTCGCCTCCAATGCCTCAAGGAGTTGCTCATAAGTCACTTCCTCACCGAGAGCTTCCAGAACTGTTAAGGCCTGGTCACGCAGAACTAGTGTGAGAGCAGTCATGGCCTGATTTTTATTCCAGCCGTTCGCCTTCATAACAGCTTCGAACTGGATTTTGTAGGCTGACCAGGAAGAGGTACCGTCGAACGGTAGCACCTTGAACCCACGTAGCGAAGGTGTTGTAGCTACTACGGGAGCTGTAGCTCCATCTCCAAGTTTGAGTTCGTCCAGTGATTTCTTCATGTCAGCCATTACGTTGTCAACCCGATTGTTTACTTGGTCGATTCGGGTTTCAGCTTCCGACAATCGGTTGTCATGTTGAGCAACTTTATCCTTCACCTCCCGTATCTCTTTTCCGAAGGTAGCGTGAAGGTCCTTCATGAGGAGCATCTGCTCTTCCAACCGACGGGCCTGTTCCTCTTGTCGGCGGGCCTGTTCATCCTGTCCGCACCGCAGCTGCTCTTCCAGCCGACGGACCTGTTCCTCCTGTCGGCGGGCCTGTTCCTCCTGCTGGTGAGCCTGTTCCTCCTGTCGCTCTTTCAACCAACGGGCCTGTTCCTCCTGTCCGCTCCGCCGCTGCTCTTCCACTCGGCGTGCCTGTTCCTCCTGTCGGCGAGCCTGCTCCTGCAGCATCACCATCAGAGCACCTAAGTCAGGTGCTGCAGATGTAGGGGCTACTGACGGGCCTGCAGCCGGTGGCTGGCCCTCCGACGTCTGCGGCGTTGCACCACCAAATCTTCTTTGGTCCGTCTCCTGCTGGCGTTGACTTCGGGTACGGACACCCTCCGTTTCCTCCTTAGGTAAAATCGGCATGATTTTATCCCACTTCTGACACCAATTGTTACGAGCTTGAGGTTCGTGACAATAAAAATTGCCGATAAAATTACCTAAATTAACACTTTAATTTACTTTACACAAATTAAAACTTAAAACACTAATAATTAAACACACTAATTCACTTTATTCCGCTCCGAAGCTTCGCTTGTCTCGCCAAATCCAATACTGCCTCGATCGCATCTTGCAGCGCCTATATATACAAATTAGCAATGAAGCATCCGGAATATTTTAGTAAATGCGCGCAAAGCGACGAGTGTTCGAGTGTAGATTTTCTAGAAACTTAGTTCTTCGGATGGCGCTGTCGGTAAAGATTTGTGATGTCATTTTCTGCAAAGCTCCCCTCGCTCTCGTTCCTGACAATAGATGGCGCTAGTGTATGACGTTGAGCGCGTAACAATATTTATTCAATACCAGCTGGTACTCGCCGCGTTGTTGCCGCAAAAGAAAATAATTACAGTCAAACCTGGATAAGCGAGAGTTCAAGGGAGCACAATCACATTCTCGCTTATAGAGGTTTCTCACTAACCCGAGTTTCTCGCTAATGCAGGTACATGGGTAGCGTTTCTCTCTTATAGAGGTACGCTGCACTAACAAGTCATAGCAAGTACGAATGTAGTAAATATGTAGTATAATAAAATTAGGTGAATAATATGCACAACATATATTATGTACATATATATTTTAATAGTGTGTATATGTTACGTTTCATGTCACTATTTTAAGTTTATCACTTAATGACAGTACTTTAATTTTCCGTTTTGAGATGAGATGCAGAACAGAACTTTCCTTTGCAATTGATTAAATATAAAATGAGTAAGTCCGATAAACAGGACGGTACACAGGCACACGTGTCCATTCGAAAAGAATGTGATAAAATAAGAACGTTATTTAGTTCCACAAAATAGAATAGAAAAAGAAACAATACAAAAACAATGGTAGGAAGTTCCACGAAAGTTCAGAATGAGTCATAAAATAGCAGATGTTAAATTTGTATTTTGTCATTTTTTACTGTATGTGTGTATCTTTTATGTATGTATGTATTTTTATTGTAGCTATAGTTCCTCCTAAATAATATAAAATAAATAAAGCTCGACTGTCGCTTATAGATGTATAGGTAAGTAGCAGTCTCACTTACGGAGGTCCATGAGGGAAAAACGAATCTCTCTCACAGAGATTTCTGTTTCTCGCTAGTAGAGGTTTTGGGAGCTTAAAATGACGGGTCCTGGCTATTACTCTCACTTATAGAGTTTTCTCATTTATCCAGTTCTCACTTACCCAGGTTTGAGTGTAATTTTGGAAATATCATTCGAAATTTGTAAGTTATATTATTTAACATCTCAAACCCTAAATGGTTGCATCCGACCATGGCGATATTCCGTCAAATAATTCCGCATGCGACCGCTCGGGATTTGACAGATGCATGCCACTGCATGGGATTTTATGGGGATTGAAGGGTTAATTAGGAATGATAATGATGATGATGTATAACTTTTACATAAATTTGTCGGTACGATACGCGCGCCACCTACTATAACCTGTAAGTAAATTGTACTATGCCTACAAATTGTGAGCTAGTGCAAGCAATAAATTGGCAAAGTTTTACCGCCACTAATGAACGGTATGGCAGCGCATAAAATACGAATAACAAACATTCGTTTTTATAAAGTAGATAGATATTTAAATAATACTCATTGAATGTTGGTCAAGTTGTGTTTTGAGACATTTTCTATGGGCAGTCTATATTCATTATAGGACTTGTGAATAGTTTGAACAATAATATAAAGGTCCCAAAACTCGACGTTAACCCGGAACCGGGTGAAAAGGCAAGTCATGATGGTTGGCAGAAAAATTTAAAAAATCTAAGTTGCATGTTTTCAAAATTATAGGTATTTAAAAAAACGGAAAAATTTAACATCCTGTGATAGTCTTTTCACTCCTGTTGCCACAAATCTTTAATTTTTCCCACAATTTTTTTTGTTATGAAACCCTGAATAATGCTTGACGCATTTAGTAAGGATTCCAAAATGATATAACACTTGTTAAATTGTACCTGCAATCGTGGACATAATTTTTTTTTCTTTTTATAATGACTCCTTCACTTCAAGCTACAATTTACGATCCTTTGGAAAACCTTGGGTACATTAGAATAATTTTTAACCAAGTAAGAAAAACTTGTTAAAACTGGGTTTTTACGAGAAAAAAAAAACAATGTCCACGATTGCAGCTATAATTTATCGAGTGTTATATTATTTTGGAATCCTTACTAAATGCGCCAATTTTGACGCTACTTGCCAAACTTGCGTAGTACGTTTTTTTTTTCAATACAGTCAGTTAAATCTAGATTTTTTTTAAATATTTGACAACCAGCATGACTTGCCTTTTCACCTGGTTACGGGTTGACGTCGAGATTTGGGACATCCTGTATAGATGTGCTTATTATTTTAATGTAATTAATAAACTCATGACTTAATGTTTATTTTCATTACAGAGGGTGTAAAACTTGGCTTGGGCGACTTCATTTTCTATAGTGTACTAGTTGGCAAGGCTAGTTCATATGGAGACTGGAATACAACACTTGCCTGTTTTGTGGCAATACTTATTGTGAGTTCCTTGAAGTCGTAACTTTAATAAATAACGTCATCCTCTTTATGACCTTAGTTAAAACCAATTTACTTATCAGATTTACTTTTTTACCACGCTTGGCTAGCGAAGGATGACAAATGAGACCTGATAAGTGAATGCTTATAGATACTTTCATTTATCCCTTTTGATTCCTAATTATTGTTACCATGAGATTTAAGATTTAATGTCTTATTAGTGACCAGTTAAAAGGGATCGGGTTCTCGCAGCAATATTTTGATACCATTTCAAGCTGGTATTATGTATTTTGACCTTATTCTCCATAATAGTCTTACTTATTAAACGTGGTTATTTCTTCTTTTGTCGGAGGCAACTAGTTACATTGTTTTTAATAATATTAATTTTAAGAGCTGATCAACTTTTTGAAAATCAATATATGAGTTATTTTTAGTTAGTTTATGTGTATAATTAATTCATAGTACTTGGGCGAGCTCCATTCGGCAAAAGGCGTACATTACACGCTCATGCAGGCTGTCAGTTCTACAATAATCATGGTTGTGGTTGACGAAAAACCTACCGTGTAATGCAGTGATTCACGCCTGCATGAGCGCTTAATGTACGCCTATCAGTCACCATCTGTTTTTTATCAATCATGATTAATGGAATTGATTGACGCCTGCATGAGCGTGTAATGTACGCATAAGAAGATAAAATCAGTTTTGACACCTATCTAGATAAGCTTGGCAAATAAAATAGTATTATCTAAATACACGCCTTACTGCCGTGGTAGCTCAGATAGTTAACACTCGCTGTAAATATAACAGAACGCGAGTAATCCGGGTTCGATCCCAGCCGGCACCAATGAATTTGTTAATTGCAATTTTAAGTGCTGATTTACCACGTGCTCGGCGGTGAAGGAAAACATCGTGAGGAAACCTGCATGTCTGAGGAATAAGAAAAAAAATATTTCGAAGACATGTGAAGTTCGCCAACACGCATTGGGGCAACGCGGCGAACACTTCCTTGTCCTAAAACCCTCTCAGAAATGATGGGAGGCCTGTGCCCAGCAGTGGGACGTATATAGGCTGTATAACCTTACTTTTTTTACTTTACGCCTATTTGCTGGACACGGGCTTCCTCTCATTCCTGAGCAGGTTATTGAGCAATCAGTATGCTGTATTGCACCAATGCATGTTGATGATTTAAAAACTTCACATGATTTCGAAATATATTATTTCTCAACAGACATGCAGGTATAGGTTTTTGGGTTAGTTACCATTTAAAATAGCAATTAACAATTTAATTAGTGCTGGTGGAGTTCGTACCCGAGTTGCTTACATGCTGTTAAATTTACTGTGAACGCTTAGTGTTTGAGCTACCACGGTTTTTATCAATTTTATCTACCCCAATCTGTGTTATGATATATCCTAGCGTATATGCGGTGTCAGAAATATGTTGAAAATTTTCACAAATATTGTCTCTGGCTGGATTTCGAACCCACAAATCGGCTAATTTGATCTCTAAACCATTTTTATATATCTTAACTTTGTAGTAATGATTATTTAACTTGTTTCAGGGACTCTGCTTAACCTTACTACTGTTAGCGATATTCAAGAAAGCTCTGCCAGCACTTCCCATATCAATAACATTCGGACTGATTTTCTACTTCGCCACCCGGTGCGTTGTCAAACCATTTGCGGATGCGTTAGCCGCCGAGCAAGTCTTCATTTAGCTACCGCTCGGCTTCTAGTACCAGCTTAGAAAATACAATTAACAAATTTAATTGAAAATTAAATCACTAAACATAGTTGAAAAATTTAGAATTAATAAGTAAAGAACAGGAGATCAATTTCAATTATATGAAACGGTCGGAAGTGATGTTATGAACACAATATATTTGTCCTTTTCAAGGTTCTGTTGTCATTTTGAACACAAAGATTTTGAACACTAGTTTTTGACTGAATTAGATATAAATTGAGGCGTATATTATTTCTGTGTCTCAATATTAAGACAGCAAAATTATGTACTTCTCTACATATTAACAGAGAATAATTTTTTTCTGATTCTATATTAAATGGGGTATTAATAGAATTGTCCTTTAAAATAATATTGCAGTTTCATAAACCACTTTTAGCGACTTAGCGAACTAAGGTTGGTTTACGAAATATCTAGCTTCAAAGTAACCTATAAAATTTCAAAAAAAAAAGCTCTTGTTAAACTATATTTGTAATTATTAAGAACACTGTCGCGTTTAAGATTTAGACACACAATTGAACAATTTTTGGTAATATGTTCTTCACCAGCTCGTAAACCGTCCATGCTGGACATGTTGCTGCCAACAGTAATGCGAATTTAAAAAATATAATGCACATCTCATGACAGGTTAATCAGGGTCAGGATTGTTTAACCATTTTATATGCCAGATGTAAAAAAGTCACAAGCAGCAGTAAGTAGACTATTCACTGGTTGATCAGTAGAGGGAAAAAGATTTTGAGGAAATTGAGCTTTTGGAATGGAATTTGACTAATTTGTTAGTAAACTTTGGTTATTTTTCATGAACTCCGTATTAACAATATTGGTCATTGGGTTTCAAGTTTTTGAAAGCATCTATTACCTTTTTTTAAGTGACATAATACCTTATATATATATTTGAACTAAAATTGATTATCTTTGTCAAATTGATCTCCAGTTTAATTCGTAATATAACATTCGGATTCACATAATGTCAATTTATATTATTTAACAATAAGGACAAAAATCCTAAATCGATGTGTAAACGATTGACACCATTTTTTTTAAATCTAATCCGTATATTATTACTACTCGGTAAATGTCGCCATCTTGCTGCTAGTTTGGCTGATTTATGCTTTCGTTTTTATGAATCACTAAGTTTAGGATATAAAGTTGTTAAATATACAAAAATAAACTATTTTGACAATGCACAAGGCTGCTAAAAGTCTCACGACCGCGCCTCCAAGTGAACGAAGTTTACATTATCCAGTTTTTACTACCCTGTTTACAAACCCATGTCTCAGTGTATTACTACTACAAACTAATTGGACTAATTGGAGAAATTTAGATATTACGATGTAGTAAATTATAGAAATTGTGAATTAAATTATATTCTAATAAATTTAAATAGACGACAATAGTGTGATGTTTATTAGTGTACATAATGTAATATAAATAATATATCACTTTGAATTAAGATAATATGTACGAAAGAAACTGAAAATTAGATCAGAACTGAAAGTTGACTTATGTGATTTTGTTGTTAATCCTTTTTGTATCCAAACAAAGCTTGTGAGTATAATATATAATCCATCTAAATCCAATTGAAAACTATGAGACATGACCCTTTTTACTGGAAACGAGGCATTCCATCTTAATCCTCAAGGATGACAACAAATCTGCAAACTGATTCGTAATCGAGGATAGATGTAGATGTCTATGGGCCACAGCAATCACTTACCATCAGGTGAACAGTGTGCTCGTTTGTCACCCTTATCTTATTTAAAAAAAATTGGTTGACCCTGCAGGCCATCCCTGAAACTTCCCGCTACTTAATTTCAAATGTAAAGCGCTCCAAATTTCACCAAATTATGTTGCGAAATCTCGGAGTATCGTTAAAAAAAAAACTTTTTTTTTTCAATTCTTTCTCCTTCGATATCTCACAAACGAATGAACCGATTTTTAATTTCCAAACGGCATTCGACGTCATTTTTTGAGGTTAAGAGCTGATAAGTTTTTGAAACCGATCGGTAAAGCCGTTTAAAAGTTTTTAAAAAAAGTTTTTTAAAATTTTTATTTTTGAGATTTCTCAAAATCTCGTCCTAATCAATTCACGTTATAACCAAATCTAATTCACATTGAGACCTTTAGAACGCCGCAAACCGCATCCCAATCAAAAGTTAAAGGTTTACATACTTACACACACACACAACACATACATACATCCGTACAGACGTCCACGTGAAATTACTCAGAATAGCTTCCTGGGATCTCAAAACGTCGAGATCTGATGAAAACTCGATTTACGAAAATCGGAGTGAGTCAATAACTTTCCTATTTTTGATAAATTTCAATTTTCTTAGCGGGAAGTTAAAAAACATCATTGCGATGATGAGACGATCATCATATTTTGTAGTATAGTACAACATAATCTTCATTATCCGTTGCCGTATTTAAAACAAAAAAATGACACCTTTGGTCTGTTAGGTACATAATATATTAACTCTCATGCCTGTCGTCCAGAAGGGTAGGCAAAGTGTACGGTCGGTTTGTTACAATTTTATAGGTGGTGCTTCATTAAAAACAATAAATGATACCAACAACTTTTTATTATCGTACAAAAATCAATTAAATAAATTCAGTAGTTCCGCGACAGGAAAGTTATTTTGTTTTAGTAATTTTGCACGTGGTGTTGGTGTACACTGTACATTCACTTCACGGAGCGAAGGTCAATGAAATGTGCGTTCAAAATAAAGAAAGCGATGTTGCCATTTCGACGTTCTATCCCGACTCCCGTAATGAATCCGGACTTTCTAAAATATATGGGCGCGGCGCCGCGCTAGGTACAACGAATGAGCGAGACTGCGACGTTGCCGCTCTTAAGGTAAGACTTTAAAGCGTGTTTAATTTTTTATTAGATAAAACTATAATATTTGTTTGAAAATTTTTCTTTTCAACCGACTTCAAAAAAAGATGTTCTCAATTCGACTTTAATTTTTTTAAGTGTGTTACTTCAGAACTTTTTTCTATGTTAACCGATTTTGATGATTCTTTTTTATTACAAAGCTGGTGCTTCTCGTGTGGTCCTATATAAATTTGACTAAGATCTGTCCAGTAGTTTTTGAGTTATCCTTAATAATGCGTATTTAATTGACTTCGACTACTACTTACAAAATTGATGATGTTCTCATTTTATTTATATTGAAATCGGCTGTACATAATTTTTAATTTTACCACTTGTTTTAATTTGACGTAAAAAATATTTTTAAATAATTTATCAGACTAATAATGAGCGAGTTTTCATTTCTTGTATCTAACGTAGCGCAGTAACTTAGACATTATAGATAGCGTCATGACCACGATCAAAACTTAACAAGTATATTTCAAATGTCATTTGTACTTATTTGAAATAATAAAATTATTTGTTGCCTCAATGACGACATGGGTCGTGTTCATATGATAGTAAACATTGTATAATAATGATTTTAGACGGTATGTCACTTCTACAAATAAATTTCCGATAAAACTTGTTTCGGATACAAATTGGATGGAGATGCTAGATTAGTACAATAGTTAAACTTTTATAGTTATTCATGACTTAGTTAAGAATCTGTTGTGTGAAAATGTACAGGCTATTTATAACTACAATCAATGTAAAAAATTGGAATTAAAAAAATAATTCTAAATCAAGGTCAGCGTGGCGGGGCAAAGAATGTAAAACAAACTCAGGAGTGCTAGAATTAAAAAAAAAACAGTAAAATTTACTACAAATTTAAAATTGTCTGTAATGATCGTTGTGAAGTAAATTTATAATGATACTATTTTATTGTCTACATGATGTTATTGACAAAGTTCAACACACGACATAAGACTGCTAAAAAAAAGCTGTCGATACAAGTTTTCAGCAATGGATAATTTTGTAGGGATAGTCTGCGAAATTTTTTAAGCAGTTACACAAAATTTTATGATAATTGCACCAATAACTGATTAACCCCTCAGCCCCTAAGCGGTTGAATTCGATCGCGGCGCTATTCCGTCAAAATTCAAGCGGCCGAATTCGACCGCGCACACCCACCGCATTTCATATTGATTCTATAATGCCCCAAACTTCTTCATAGAAAAGTAGTCTCCATATATAAGTTTTAATGGTTTTAAGTGCTACGGGTGGGTGCCGTCGCATGCGACCGCTCGAGATTTGCCGGGCGCATGCGACTGCATGAGAATGTTAAGGGGACTGAGGGGTTAAGGAGCTAATAACGAACGAATCTGGGGTTTATTGTAGCCGCCTTCACGCTTCATCTTATACTTAATGCGTGTGGGATTAAAATTCTGTGAAGGTCAATGTTCATACTAATAATGCAATCATACATATACATACTAAAACACTAATCACCATTATTAATTTATGGTAACGTGGCAAACAAAACGTAACATTAAAACAAATCGTGACATATTAAATAAATACAGCCGTTTCTGTTCAGCCGTTCATGTTATTGCGTTGCAAAGGCCATATAATCACTATGTTAACGTTACATTATTGTGTACAAAAGCAACGAAAGAGTTATTTATCGATCGCTAACACATTTAATACGTAAAAAGTCTAAGCGATTACATTCTTTATCTAGTCACGTTGTTATTAGTATAGTTGCCACACAATTTCTTTATAGTTGCGAATTCTATTAGTCATAATATAATTAATTTATTAAAAAGCAAGCTGCCCATTAACTTTCTACTGGCAAATTATGTAAACTTAAATTGCTATAAAAGACACTTAGCATGTATAAGGTATTTTAACAATAATTTTTGGTGTTCACTACAAATAAACCTGAGTTATTAATTCATTCCAGACATTCCATTCCTTATGTTAATTCAAAGTTGTATTTAAAAATTTTAGTGGTAATCATTTTGTTAACTAATCTGATTAAATATATTTATATTTATTGAAAAGCATTTAATTTAAAATATTTTTTCAATTAATCCTTGCTAATCATACTTGAGTAGCAAGTTGAAATGCTGATCATATTGGTAAATAAATATGTACAGCAAAATCATCATTACTAAAATTTTAAGTTACAGGTTCTATACGTCCCACTGCTGGGCACGGGCCTCTTATTTCTGAGAGGGTTTTAGGTTGGATTTAGGGCTTGGAAATGTTCGCCGCGCTGCCCCAATGCGTGTTGGCGAACTACTACACGTCTTCGAAATGTTTATTTTTCTTATTTCTCAGGTTTCCTCACGATGATTTTCTTCACCGCCGAGCACGTGGTAAAATCTGCACTTAATATTGCAATCGGGGATCGAACCCGGGCTGCTTGTGTACTGTAAAATTTACAGCGGGCGCTTAGCCCCTGAGTACCACGGCTTTACTACTAAAATTTGAGATCATATTATTTTAGTTATCTGGATTTTGTTAGACAAATTCTTCATCAGGTTAGTACGGAGCTATTTTGGATCTACGAACTTTATTTTGTGATTAACTTCTTTAGATGTCTACTGCGAGTGGGCGAGAAGATGAGTTCTTTGTTTTGTAAGCCGCAAACAAAGTTTGCGACAATCCAACACTGAATTTGTTTATTAGACTAAAAAACTCAGGTCTCGCGTCCTTAGGCCTAATTAAAAAGGGAATGGCAATGATGATAAGAATGATCGTTTATGATTTGGTATTGTTACAAACCACCATGTCGCCTCTGTGGAGGTTTTTTGAGCTTATCTAACCACTGTCCGAGTGGGGGAGTGCGTTCCCCCGTCTCTGACTGCTTAGCTCGTATTGTTCGATGTTCTGGACGGTCAGAACCGCCCAGGTGTACGTGGGTGTACGGTGTGTGATGGAACGCATCGTGCCCGCTTACGGATGCGACGCGCCCTATCCGTCATCCTATTGATGCTTGTTCCATTTGGTGTGGGTGTAGTGTTAATGTGTGATGTGCCTGCGATGTTTGAGTCAACGGGTTCGAGCGGTCGTGATGGTTCTATAAGTACCTACATTACGCGATCTGCAGAGTCGGCGTGATGTTTGGTATAGGGACGTAGTTGGCTGAGTTGCCACTGGCGGGTTTGGACGGGTTTCGGCGTTATCGAAGTAAGGCTGAGATATCTCCTTGAAGTATTCGAAGATTGAGGGAATTTGGTCATCATTGTGCAAATCTGAGTTCCGTTGATACCACCGTGCACCTGTGGCTTTTCGGATGAAGAAGTTTTGTACTTTCTGTAGTTCTTATAGCTGGGTTCTTATAGGTGACTGCCTCGTTGGTCTAGTGGTTGTAGTAGTGCGACTGCTAATCATGAGGTCCTGGGTTCGAATCCCGGGTCGGGCCAAAAATTAATTATTGAGTTTTTCCGTCAAGAAATTCTTAGTAGTTGCCCGGAGTAAGGAAGTTGGCGGTGTCTCACTCCCGTGCCTCGGAAAGCACGTAAAGCCGTTGGTCCTGCCCCTGATCTCTCTCCGGTCGTGTCGGTTTACCGTCCTATCGGATTATGAGAGTGAGGGAATAGATAGTGCACCTGTGCTTGCGCATACACTTGGGCACTATAATCCTGTCCTGCGCCGATGGCTAGTCTCCATTGAGGCAGGCCGCTGTGGCCGAAATTCAGTCTGGAGGACATTATTATTATTATAGGTGGGTTCTATACGTGTGGTGGAAGGCTACACTGGCGGATGACATAATAGGTCTAACGCAAGTTTTGTATAGCAGGAGTTTGTGACTTAAGAATAGCTTACTCTTTCTGTTGACAAGAGGGTGAAGACGGCCACTGACTGATTTGGCTCTGTTGCGCACTAGGTACACTTACATGTTTCGCGAAACTCATGCGGGCGTCGAACGTGACTCCCCGATATTTGGCCAATTCTTCCAAACGGATAGAGCGGCCGAAAAGTCATTATTTATGTACGTATTTTGTCAACGTGATTTGAAATTTATTTCAGATAATTATTTAATGTGCCTAACTGTGACAGTTTTTGTTCAGAATTGCCTGGTCTAAAAAGGTCAAAAGGGGAAGAATTTTTATGAATGACGTCAGCGTAACGCTCCCCGCGTAATAATTATTGACACCGGCGTGCTAGATAATTCAAAATGTTAATACGTACAGCATAGAAACCGTATGTACTGGAGACATTCGTGTTTTTAGTTATTATTATCGCGTCATAGAAAAGCACTGGAAGGACTTGTTTTGTTGATCTCTGTAATGTAAATTGTTCCCATTTAGAACTTGGTAAGCTGCAGGCAGTACGGTGGCGTTTGAGCACATCTTTCTACCGTATGAGAGTTTCGAGTAGAATACTGCCTTCGAATGCCTGCCTTAACCTACTGTTTGTCCATACTTTCGATGTGGCCACACCATCTTAATTGGTATTTTATTATCAACGCCTCAATCCACGGTATCTCGACGCCACGAGATTTCCGTGGTTGAAACACGATCGTCAATTTATGCGCAGGATCGTGTCGAGTTTTTTGATATCTTGTAGCATCTCTGCGCCATATTTGGATAGGTGTTGTAATAACTTTTTATATCATAATTTTGTTTTGTAAGCCTAAGGTCATGTGCTGCTGTTTTATTGTAAATCGAAACGCAACAGTGACAAATGGCCCGGGCCTATCAAAATTTTGAGGATCTTGGGTATGGAGTGTAGAGGTAGAGTACACTCTGTATAAAAAAAAGCGTCCGTAGGAAAGCGCTAAATAAGGATTGCGCCACTGTAGTTACATTCTAAATTTTAAAGAACTTTATATTTTTTTATTGCTTTTTAAAATCACTCAACGTATTTTATGGCATTTTTTCATACCCTGTAGCTACTCGAGCGCTTGAGTGAGTGTGGAGGTTTTTGAACTGTTATTTACTGCTTACAGATTGACACATTTTCAACTATTCTCCTATGGGAGATTGTCCTCCTTACCTCTATACTCCATGATCTTGGGCAAACATGTTGTGATCTCGAAACAGCTGTCCAGCTTGCCGCAGACTGCATCTGCATTAGCTATGCGTACTCGAAGGTAAAAGAGGTAACAGATAAAAAATAGAAATAAATTTATAAAAATAAGTTTTATTAAAAATAACAGTTTTTTCTTGTAACTGAACTAAGTTTTATATTTATAATATAAAACTTAGTTCGTAAATTTATAAAAAAAAATAAAACAATTGTTCCATATGATATTATGAATAAAAAATAAGTGCAATTAGGTAACTGGTATGTAACCTAAAATATACACTAAAATGTACATCTAAACTGTGTAGATAGTATGCAATTTATTATAAAACATGTAACAAAAACCCTGTTACTCGTAAGTGCGTTTTAAGAATCCGTATTCAAACGTATAGATTTTTTTAATTAAAATAATTAAATTTAATTAAAAAAAAATTATTTGATACTTGTATGTGATTTTTTACCTCTGACACGCGTATCGGTAAAGCTGGGTCTTTGACAATACTCTTGCTCCACGGGCAAAGCAGAGGTAATAAAACAACATACAATTTGCAAATGAAAATTTAGTCAAATAAATTTTGAATTTTCTGAAAAAAGTTATTTCTATATGTTTGAATACTGATTCCGTTAACGCACTTTACAGAAACCACAGGGTTTTTCTTACATGTTGTATATATTTTTATATTCTCTTATTATAATGCACTGGTAACCTGAAGAAGATAATCAAAATAAAGCATCTATGACGGTAAATTTTACATCTTTTTCTAGCTTTCAGTCTCTCGTTCTTAATAGGTTAGAATGTTTAACAACCAATATTATATATTTTTGAGATCACCATTTTGTATCGCAATAAAAATCATTAAAAAATATTCATAATTTTTACATTTTCAGCATTTAAAATTTTGGAATGCACTTAGGAATGATTTAATATGCTCTTTATATAAACGGTCAATATTCCAACACAATATTTAACAAATTTAAAAAAATCAATTATATAAAAAATCCTTATGAAAACCCACTTATCCAAAAAAAAATTAGGAATACGAATGTGAAGAAGTACAATGAAAAGTGGGTTCACTAACTCTTATTATTAAACCCACACCACAACCACTTTTAATTAGGGTTTGGGATCTCAATGGGACCGCTTTTCTTGATCACTTTTAATGTTTCTTCATTGGGCTTTATTCTGTCAGAAGGAATATCTTCCTTGACTGGTATTTGATCTCGTACAGGATTTTGTGGTGTTTGTTTCGTATGTGAGGTCTTCATTTTTACAGTATCTTTATTCTTTTGTACTTTCGGTTTTTCATTTGTAGTTTTTAAAGCTTCATCTTTAGATTCTGTGGACTTTGCATGAGGTACTTTTTCCGGGGTAACTACTTTGGGTTTATCACTTTTATTTATAGAATCTTTGACTATTTTCTCTTGTTTATTCTGTTTCTCATCCAGTTGTTTAGAGATAACTTTAGGTTTTTCTTCAGGTTGCTTTAAATTATTATTCTGATTCGTCATTGGTTTTTTAGGATCGGTATTCGGTTTTGCTCCAGTTACTTTAGGTTCATTAGATTTTGGTTTAGTCTCACTTTCTATTTTTGTTGGTTTTGTCACAATTTTTTCTTTTTGTTGCTGGTTTCCCTTATTGATTTGTGCACTATCTACTTTAGCCTTTTTTTCTGGTGAACTTGGTTCAGATGACTTTTGTACTAACGGTTTATTATCCTTCATGTCGACAACTTTGACCTTGTCCTTTTCTGTACCCTTTACTACTTTTGCAGTTGGAGCTGATTGAACTTTAGGCTGAGAAGTTTTTTTACTTTCTTCACTTTTCATAGCTGAAGCACCGGATGGTTTATTTTCAGTGAAAGCTTTTTTTAAAAGTGGTGGAGCTGGTACTGAAGCAATGTATGGTAAATGTGGGCCACCCATATACAACTTATCATTATATACAATAGAATCACTAATATGATCAACACTATTGTCTGTGTTAAAATATGATGCCACAATGTTGCCATTCCAATCTACTTGTAATAATCCAGAGATGTTTGGCAACATACTGCTTATACTTGAGAAGTGACCAATCTGTAATAATAGGATAAGTAAAATTAGAGAAATTAACAAAATAGTGATTTCTACATTTGTAAAATATATTTACCTTATATATAATGTCCTCTAGCACAACATGTGGATATTGTTCATGGAGATATTCAAATGGTATTTCAATTAAGCGGCTAAGACGTGCCAAAAATTTTCTAGCAAGTGGTGTGTTGGCCAAAGATTGGCTAATAAGTGGATTTTCATTGTCAAAAACAACAAATAAAGATATAAGGACACCTGAGCCATCAGGAAGAACACGTAAGTTATCAGGAGCACCTAAAAGAAAAATTAAGCAGAACTGTACAAAACTTTTTTATATTATTGAATACATAATATATTATGTTACATGTAAAACATTGAATACAAATATTTTTGTGGTAGATAAAAGGATTCGCATTCAATGTTTTACACAGAGACGTTCCAACTGTACAAACAATATTCGATGCAGTTACAGCCTAACAATAAAGCTACCTCACTTAATATCATTTAACATAATCGACATGGTGAATATGTATTTTTTCATCTTGTGCATTTTAACTTTAACCTTTTCTAAAGTAAATCCACAATATATAATATACGAAAATGATATGAATTTTCGAATTGATCCTGGGTTACAAACTTGTTTTTTCAAAGAAGGTAAAGTCGGTCAAGTAATGGAGGTACATTACGAAGTATTAGATGGACAACATGGAGACTTGGATATATCATTCGATATAATAGATCCAAATGGTGTCAAAATCTTATCAGACTACAAGAAATTTCAAAACAAGGTAGTCATGGAACTGGAACATGAAGGTGATTATGAATTTTGTATGGATAATTCATATAGTATTATGAATTCAAAACTTGTATTTGTAAATGTGTTGATGGAGAACAAAAACATGAATGAAGAACAGCTGGAAGAAATATTACAGTGGATGGGAGTTGACGAAGCAAGGGAAACTTATTATATAGACATATCATATATAGCACATTCATTGATGCGAATTCTTAAGTTCATAGTCCAAGGACGACGACGAAGTCACGTGACAGTTATAGAGCATTTGACGACTCATTTATTGTGGACATGTGGTGTGGTTTTCAAATATGTTTTATGTCAATTGTTGGAATGATACAAGTGTACATGATAAAGAAACTTTTTTAAAATCCTTGTAACACTAATTAAAAGCTAAAAAATATGTTATAAGTACAAATTATATATACAAATCGATAGTAGAAGTGAATAAATGTAATGCCATTAATATAAATAGCAGACAGTGTGTCTGTTTTATCTGTTAAAAGAGTTAAAATTAATAATGTACATAACAAAACTCACAGTTATTATTATTTCTTACCTGGTAGCCCTGTTATAAACACTTCTGACGTTCCTTTTTTAGGGCCATTAATGTAATATTTCATTACTCTATAGCTGTTAGTTTCAGCAACTAACACAAATTGATTATCTGGCGAAATTACAACACCATTAGCGAACCACAAATTATCAAGTAGGACTTTGCTTATATTTTTTGTTGAATCATAGTGTAGTAAGCTGTAAAAAATTTATGACATTGAGTTAAAGTATTTCAAACAAATACGGTAAAAGAAAATCTAGCAATAGATAATTAAAAATAAATTATAAGCTTTACCGCCCAGATGGATCAGAAAGCACTGCCATTGCACCATCTTTTAAGTCATAGTCACTAGATGAGTGAGTCCAATACAGGTCACGATTATTGTCCAGTGCAATGCTATTAAAAATTTTTGCTTGTTTTCCATCAATTTCCACGTTTGGTGGAACAAGAAGCTGCTTTTTATCGGTCTTTAGGTCAACTTTCCAAATACCATAGTATGCATCGGCAACATACATTAATTTATTTTTTTCATCTATCTCAAATCCAAGGGGACGTCCACAAATGTGTTCTTGAGAAAGGCCAGCTAAAATGATAAAATCGAGTCAATTATTAGAATCGTTGTCGGCGCTGGGGACAAGAGGGCTCAAAACCTAAATGTTCATAGAGGAAATACAGTCACTGATCAGGTGAGTCGCATGCTCGCTTGCTCCCTCTTCTATATAAAAGAAGCCAGCAGTCTTGGCACTCTACCGCCAGAAGCGGGGCTGTATGACAATTCTTGGAAACTGCAGTTTTGTATTATACTCTCTCTCCGCGCCTACGACTTTACAAAAACACTCTAGGGGTAGAGCAGACAAGACTACGTAGAGTCGGAGCGTGCTCATTCGGTTTAAGAGCAGATTCGACCGACCTTTTCAAAAAACAGTGTAAAAGGTCCACACCGATAAGCCCCCTAAATTAAAAACTAAATTAAAATCAAGTACTGGATGTCTATGGCCAACCCAAAATTGTAAGGTCCCTTAAACAATTTAAGAATGAGTAAGAATTTGAGACAAACACATTGAGAATATGAAGGTTTAACAAAAGTTATTTTAATTTACTCAGTTCTGCCTAGGCCAAAATAATTAAACCTAAAGTATTTAGGCCAAACTGAATTGTCTTGGGCTAAGCTAGTAAGTCTGACGTGCGTTAAATAAGCCGATTTGGCCTAGGACAAACTAGTTTGGCCTGAAATCAGGTTTGGCCGGTAACATATATTACAATATAGATATAATCATATATTTTTTTAAGTTTATTATTTAAGTTATTTGATTTTACCTTAAGGGGTGTCGTTGTTATAATTGCCTTAGTTGTGGAAGTGACACATAATATTAGAATTTTTTACTTTTAAGTAAACTTGTTTGGTTTTGTTATTTAATACTGTTTTAACCATTGAACTTGTTAATTCAACTTTTCTTTGATAAATAGTTTGATGTTGATGTTTAATTACTTTTTTACACACTACTTTTACACACAAAAATATTTTTTCAAATAATTTATTTTATTTATTTATTTCTGAAACTTTCAACTATCATTACAGGATTAATAACCTAATGCGATAGTGTAGCTCTCTTAATTAATTTATATTAATTATTTATTTTTGTAACAAAATACAAACAATGCTGTCTTTGTGAATTCACTCAGAGTACAACAAAACAGGTCCGTCTCACAAGCTATTAAGTTTAGCATGCGGAGTGAAAGCGTTAGAGGCGCCTAACCCAGAAGGTTGGTCCGACCTCGGGGCTCCATCAACACTTGCGGCTGCCGTCGGCGACACTTATACCTCTCAGGGACACGTAGATTAACCTGCCCTAATATTTAAACATTATACAATTTTCCTCGGAGTATTTTAAAAATATACGAGGTGAGCGCGAGTTCCCTCCTAACTCTCAAATTACCCGCTCCCTCTCCTTACAGTTTCCTTCCACTGCTGGCCAAGGGTAATGGAAATAAAGAAGAGTTTACTGCCGCAAATATCTCGCACCTCGGCAACGCTGCCCTAAAACATCGCACCGAGCAAACGCGATCCCCCAAGATTAAATAAAATAAATGTTTGTCTTTTTTCCTCCCACATTTTTTATCACTTCTACAACAAACACTTACCGTTACAGCCTATTTAAGTCCACTGCTGAACACAGACCTCTACATATATTGCTTCATAGGGGGGATATTTGCCATAGTTGCCACGCTTGGCAAGCAGAATGGCAGCCACAGTTTTATTGTCTATTATAAAAACACTGGTGCCCATCTCCCGATTTATTTCCTTCAGTCTGCTCTAGACACAAGTGATAACAACATGGTGTATAAGTCACTGCGATCAGTCTGAAAGTCACGGTGACTAACTACGTTTCAAAATAACGATGTTCCTTCGCGCCGCCACTGTATTTTTCCCGTTGCTCCTGTCACTAATTTAACCAAATGAAAGGAACCACGTGTATACGTGTATCTTGTACCATGTACTGGAACAGTACACCGACCGATTGGCGGCTGATAGGTTGAGTGAAATTCGTAAATTTCAAAAATAATAATTAGAATAGTACTTATTAACATAGCCACGTAGCTTAGGTAAGAAAGGTAATAAAAAATTGGCTGCTACAATAAAACCTAATCTAAAATCCATGTACAGTGTAAACTCTTTCAAGGAACCGAGCATTTTTTTCGTTTTAACTATCAATAGGTAAATTATTTTAAGCACATATATTCTGTTAACTTTGCTTGACGTGTTTTGCTATGCCAATATGTGTTTTGTATTTTTTAAGTATTTTGTGCATGTCTAGGGATGTGGTGGAATCATCTTCATTAAACAATAAGAATTTTTCTACAACTTTGGCGGTATCAAGTGCTTGTTGAACAGTTGGTGATGGTTCAGAATCGTCCACTTGATCATCTTCATCATTTTCATTTTGTTTCTCTTTACTTTTTGACACTGAATCAATAATGTCTTCATCAGTAAGTGAAGCAGTTGTGGCCAGGTTCTGATCTATATTTTCGTATGTTTGTAAATTTTCGCTGAAATGATTCAATTATATGCTGAACTGTTTAATCCAATCACTCAGTGGTAAATCGTCCTCACTATTAAACAGCTCTGTTTCTACTGCCTGGCTCCCGCGTGACGAAAGGAATGCTGTATAGTCACTGCTGTTATCTCTTTCCAGGCTTTCGACATGAAATTCACTGCTTGTAGCATATTAATCGCGGTCTTGCCGTCAGTTTCCATCTAGTCCATCAACAATTTCCTTCTATAGTGGCCCTTTAGACTTTTAATCACACTCTGATCCATCGGCTGCAAGATACTGGTTGTATTAGCTGGGAAAAATGCTAACTCTATGTTTCGAAGATTGGTTATAAGAGGGTGAGCAGGACAATTATCTACTAGAAGCAAAATTTTCCTTCTCTTTAATTCAGCATCCCACTTTATAACTTCCTCTTCAAAGAACTGCGATGTCATCCAAGCTGATTTGTTTGCTTTGTATGTGACTGGCAATTGTTTTATGTTCTTGAAACACCAAGGGTTTTAGATTTGTCTATAACCAAGAGCTTTCTCTTTTCTGTACCACTCATACTAGCAGCTACTAGAACGGTAAACCCTCTTTTGAGAGTTTTCCACCCACAAATTTTTCTGCTTTGAATTTAAATGTTTTGTCGGGCATCATCTTGTAAAAAAAGTCCTGTTTCATCAGCATTGAAAATGTCATTTAGTGAATACTTCTCCATTAATTTAGGCTACACTTTAGTAATCCAATCGTTAATCACATTCATGTCACCGTCTCGCGCCTCTCCGTTCATTTTCCCGTAGGCAATGACGGTTCTTAAATTTTCCAAGCCAACCTTCTGATGCTTTAAAGTCAGTAATGCCTAGTTGTTCGGCAAACTTCTCAGCCTTGGCTTTAACAATTGGACCCAGATGGGTACACTATTCTAGCGCTGATTGTTAAACCACGACAAAATTGTTGTCGTCGAATTTTGGCTTCCTCAATTTTTTTGAGGACACTCCCTACAGTTCCGCCTGTAAAATCACTTCTTTGTTTTTCCAAATGGTAGCAAACTTTTTCATTAACACATAACGCTTTTCTTTTACTGGCCATCTTGACAGTTTCAAAGTTGGTTTACGACTGATAATACACGATACGTGAGGATGATGCGTTTAGTAACTGAGAGCAAAATTTTCTACAGAGAATGTAATCTAAGAATAATGGCACACATGTTAAGGCAATTAACAATAACAAAGGCGAGATGGCTGTTTATGACCTCAGGTGTCTTTCTTAGAAATTTCCGCACCTCAAAAGATTAGTTTTGTAAGCTGATTATAAAAACTTTAAAAATTTCTACATTATAGAAAGTTTTTCTTTATAACAAATAATGTTATAAAGTTTACACTGTATTTATAAAGTCACATAATAAGTAGTTCTAATGTTCCAAGTAGGTATCCAACACTATCAACATGACAAAATCTGACTTTTTGTAACCGAAATAATGGCCACGCTGTTAGCAAATACGAGGGCGGCACTGAAAATTTCGGGAATCAAGGAAGTGACACAACATTACTATTTAAAAATGTATTTATTGCTTTTCGAAGTATTCTCCGCGAAATTTGACACATTTTTCCATACGATGGAACCAATCATTGAAGCAACCATTCCATTCGGAAGTTGGGGTCTCCAAAATAGCCGTTTTGTAGGCGTCCACAGCTTCTTCAGGTGATGAAAATCTCTTTCCACGCATTTTATTCTTTATTTTAGGGAAAGTGTAGAAATCATTAGGGCTTAGGTCGGGGCTGTACGGCGGATGGTCTAATAATTCTATGTTTTCTTGCTCTAAAAACTCCTTTGTTCTATGTGCGGTGTGAGAACTCGCATTGTCGTGATAGAGGATGATGCGGCGGTTACAGTTCTCTTTACGGAGTTCAGAAACGACCTGTGGCAAACAAATGCTAGCATACCATTCTGCATTAACCGTTCTTTGTCCCTCAAGAGGAATAGTCGTAACATGGCCGGTTTTGGAGACAAACGTGGCCACCAAACACCGTAAACAAACAATTTTTGTTGGCTTTAACTCATTTTCAAACACCCAAACTCGTGACTGGTTTTTGTTTCGGGTTCGTACGCGTATATCCAGGATTCGTCACCTGATACCATGTTGTATACAGCATTTGAGGATCCTGCGTGGAATCTTTCGAGAGTTCTGACACACCAAGTAACGCGAGCCGCTTTTTGCTCTTCACAAAGCAAATGCGGTATCAATCGGGAAAACAACTTTTTTACACCTAATTGTTCATGCAAGATTATTTGTATTTGACTCATGCCAATGTCTAAAGTTGCCTGAATTTCGCAGTATGTCACATGTCAATCTTCCTCAATCAGCTTACGCACAGCATCAATGTTTACTTGGGTGACTGCAGTTTTTGGACGACCTTGACCGGGATCATCACTGAGCTTGACATGTCCACGTTGAAAATCAGCATACCAGCGATAAATTGTGGTTTTGGATGGGGCTTCATCACCAAATGCAGAAATCATCCGGTCAACACACTGTTTTTTGTTAAATCACTTCGAAAGTCATAATAAATCATCACTCTTGAATTTTCTCGAGTCAATTCCATTTTCTCAACGACTAAACAAGTTTGACAAAACCTTGTGACAGAGAATCTTTTTTTAAATAAATAAATGGTATTCGATTTTTAAAACCAAGGAGTTTTCAATTGAAAAGATTTATAGAATTAAAGAGAATATGACAGGAACAGTGGAAATATTCTATTCCCAATACTTTTAGTGCAGCCTAGTAAACTTTTTGTCCATGTCTAATGAGTAATTGTAGTGACAAAGTCACGGTGATTTTTCACTCTGACTTATTTGAAGCGACAGTAGCCTAATGACATGGCGCGGACCGCGAACTCAAAAAGGTTGTGGGTTCGAATCCGCCATTTGACTGGCGTGAAACACTTGTAACACAAGCAATTTAAGCTTACCACAAGCGGTTAAGGGGAATATTAGTAATGTTTATAGCATTGTTAATATTCTTTAAAAAAAATAAGCTGTTATTTTTATAGAACTGAAACATAGTCACAGTTATTTAAAAATTACACATTTTCCCAAGTCTAGTCATCTCTTACAATTACGACATCTACGGGATGACATGGATACACCACCACTACGGGGTAAATGATAATTTCTACACTTACTATCATTTATGGGATTTGTAAGATAATTTATTATAAATAAATAGATTACATTGAAAACTGACAACAAGCATCAACAAGCTTGTAAGCTTCCGGCTAACCTGACAATAATGTTAAAAATGTGTATAAAAGTTATCTGTGATGAATAGATCAGTTAGTTGTTTCATAACCGCCAACTAGTGAACGAGTGAAAAGGGGTAACTCTGCTAGTCTGCTGTAAAGAGCCAAAAGGCTCTTAAGCTTACTTAGCTTAAGACCTAACCTATTTTATTAGAACAGAATACTTAAGCTAAGTGACCTATGTATTTTGCTATTATATTATATTATTTCTTTTAAATGTTAATGCCAATTTGTGACCTGTGTATTTAATAATTATGTATTGTTGGTTTTTTCATACTAATAGTATAAAATAATATACTGCAAATTAATTATATTTAACAGAAAAATTCTTTTAAGTTTCTTGCTGGTTCTTCCCAGGACAGAAATTGGGTTGGCTATAGACCGGTACTTGATTTTTTTTTATGGAAGACGGGGCAAACGAGCATGCGGCTCACCTGATGTTAAGTGACTAGCGCCGACCATGACCAAGGTCTTTCTAAGGGCAGGTGCGTTGCCGGCCCTTTAGAAAGGAGTACGCTCTTTTCTTGAAGGTCCCCAGGTCGTATCGGTCCGGAAAAATCGCTGGTGGTAAACTATTCCACAGAGAGGTTGTACGCGGAAGAAAACTCCTCTTGAAACGTACAGTGGTGGACCGCCAAGCATCCAGATGGTGTGGATGGTATCGGGACGTTTGCCGCGTAGTGCGTTCACGAAATTTGGCGGCTGGGATTAATCCGAACAATTCCTCAGAGCACTCTACATGGTATATGCGAAAGAAAATGCAAAGAGATGCAACATCTCTTTGCAGTGCCAGTGAATCGAGCCGATCGGAAAGCACTCGGTCGTCGACGATTCGAGCCGCTCTGCGCTGGATGCGGTCAAGTGGAAGGAGCTGGTACTGGGGAGCCCCAGCCCAGAGATGGGAACAGTATTCCATGTGCGGCCGAACCTGCGCCTTGTAAAGTTGCAGGCGGTGTGCCGGCATGAAATACTGTCCCGCTCTGCTGAGCACGCCAAGCTTTTTAGAGGCCACTTTGGCCTTCTCTTCCAAGTGACCACGAAACTGCACGTCACTCGATATGTCGACGCCGAGGATACCGATACTGGCTGAGGCAACAATGGGAGTGCCTTGAAACTGAGGAGATACGACAAAGAGGTTCTTTTTAGCGGTTAACGCGCAAACTTGTGTCTTCTGGGGGTTAAACTGGACTAGATTTAGTCGCCCCCAATCCGAGACTCTGTTCAGCAAAGACTCGACTTCAGACACAAGTTTGTCCCGGCACTCGGAGACGTTTTCTCGAGAAATATTGGCTCGGCCGGTATAAAGAGCATCACCAGTGCTGTCATCTGCATAGCAATGAATGTTACGGGTTTGCAACATATCATTGATATGCAGAAGAAACAGCGTTGGCGATAGCACGCAGCCTTGTGGAACACCAGCATTAATAGGCTTGCAATCGGAGCTTGCACCGTCTACAACGACCTTGATACCCCGATCTGTAAGAAAGCTGGTGATCCAATCGCACAATTTCTTGGGAAGCCCATAGGAAGGGAGCTTCGAAAGAAGCGCTTTGTGCCAAACCCGATCGAAGGCCTTCGCAATGTCCAAACTAACGGCCAATGCCTACCCCTTGGACTCTACTGCCTCCGCCCATCTGTGAGTTAGGTAGACCAGAAGATCACCAGCTGACCGACCACGGCGAAAACCGTATTGGCGGTCACTAATCAGCTCGTGATCCTCAAGGTACCTCATGAGCTGGCAGTTTACAATGGACTCCATTATTTTGGAGAACAAGGAGGTGATGGCGATAGGCCAGTAGTTGGACGGGTCTGAGCGGTCGCCTTTTTTAGGGATCGGGTGGACGAAAGCCGTCTTCCATGATTTTGGGACTACGCCTAAGGAGTAGGAGTAGGAGTACAACTCTGGAGCACACGTCCTCAGCACAATTGGGGGGATTCCGTCAGGCCCACTCGACTTGTGGATGTCCAGGGAGAGGAGTGCTTTGCAAACCGAGCGCTGTGTGAACTGCACTTCCGGCATGGAGCACTCACACCGCGGGATGTTCGGCGGCGAACTCCCCCCGTCATCGAGAGTCGAGTTGGACTCAAAGAAAGAGCCTAGAAGATCGGATTTCTCCTTTGCGGTATGGGCCAGTGAGTCGTCCTCCCTGTGCAGAGATGGAAAAGATGGCTGACAGAAATTCCCCTGGACAGCCTTGGCGAGAGACCGGAATGCACGGGTTCCAGAAGGAAGGCGAACTAGTTTCTCGCCAATTCTGCCTATGTGCTCTGACTTTGCCTTGGCAATGACTCTTTTGAAGGACCTAGAGACGGAATTATACTTCCTTTTTAGAGCGCTGGTGTTTACATCCCGGGACG